ATAATAACTAAAACCAAAAAGCAACATATAAATACATAATTGCCACTTGAAAATAATTCTAAATTATTATCCCCCAAAAAGAACATCGCAATACCAAATAAATAAATAAATTAATAAATCACTACCTATCAAGACCTATGGTATAAAAACTAAAGCAGTGGTCAAAAATATCATAGCCTCAAATATATGTACAGTGTATTGTGTTAATAAAAAAGAAAGAATGCAAATAAATATATTAAGCATTCAATTAAACTACAAGAAAATAAGTCTAAGGAAAAGAGTAAGAGAATAAAAGCCAACAATTTTTAAAAAACCGATTCTTGGGACCAGCAGTTAGCGTAATGGCTATTTCACTGGACTCCCATGTAGTCGACCACGGTTTGCGTCCCGGACCCGGTGGCTTAAAACTCACGCCGGGCGCGTGTGCGTGCATGCCCAAGATCCCGAGAGGAGAATGGAGGAGAAGGGATTGTGGCGTGGCCATCCCCCTTGGGGGTGATTTCTTGCTTTCTGTCTCTCTGTCTCTCTCTGTCTGTCTGGTGAGCGCACACGCCCTATAGTGAAAACCTCTCAAAAATAAATAAATAAATAAATAAAATAAAATAAATAAGTAAAGTAAAATAATAAAAATAATGATTTTATGATTTTTATTACCTACCAAAACTGAGTACCCAAGTATGGTGGTTGTCCTTTTGTGAAGAGGTTATTCCCATGATGACAGCCCCATATCAATGATAGTCAAGCAGTAATGATGCCAAATATTGGTAGTGAGCACCTATTTTCTAGGGAAAACTGATGGAACTACATTTTTTTTAAAATTAAGTTTTTGGGGACCAGCAGGTGGTGTGGTGGTTAAGGAGCTGGACACTACTCCCACATGGCTGACCACAGTTCAAGTCCTGGACCTTGCCTTCTCACTTTCTTCTCTCTCTCTCTGGTAAAAATTTTAAAAAATAAATAAATGAATAAATATAAGTAAAAATAAATAATTCTTTTTAAAAATTAAGTTTTCTAGTTTTAAAGAATTATTAGTGTAAGATTTATTTGCCAAAAAAAAAATTCTTATAAGTCAGAACAGCAGATCTGCTAGAACACAATTTATGGATAACCATTAGAATTTGCACAGTAGAATTCCCCATCAGACATCCTTTTCAACTAAATACAAATCTTTTATAATCAGAAAATTAATTTTGTGTGGAAAAGGATGTCAAGTGAGTTTTTAAGTACTTAAAAACAGAAGGTGCCATGCACTAAAAACTAAACAAAATGTTTTACTATATTAGTCCCAAAGGAAAAGAGCCTACTATCCACCAAAAAGTTAAACATCTTCCTTGATTTCTCCTTTTCCATAACCTATTTCCTCCAATCAAATTGTAGCAACTTTACCTCTAAGGTACTTCCAAGTCATCTATTCTCCTGTGTGAAAGGGCAGTCCAATTCAGCTTCGTTTTTAGATCAACCTTCTATAACAGCCTCCTAGTTATTTCAGTTCTTGTTCTCTTACCAGTCTCCACATGGCAGCATGTATGAGCCTTTTAAATTAAATCTCATTATTCCCTTCTCACTCTACATCTTTATAAACTTCCAATTTTATCCAAAATGAAATTCAAACTCCTAACCGTTCGTGATCCTGATCCTGTCTAATTCTCCAAGTTCACTCTTTATCTCCACTTTATCAATCACTCTTTCTCTCCACTGTGCATTCCAGACTTATCTATCTTTTTAGCCCTCAGGTAAGTCATATCCTCTCCTACTTTACTGTCTTTACTTTTTATGTTCTCTCTTAGAAAGATCTTCCCTGAATTCTTGGGCTTTTGTATTTGTTTCTAAGATCTGAAGAACATGTTGATATAAAGAAACTCTAACAATATCCAATAATATAGAAAGAAAGAACTATTTGAATTCCACCATCTAGAGAAAATGATCATAAGTATTTTGGAGGTAATCCTTTCATATCTCTCTATGGATATATGTGCCATTTTCTGCTCTCTCTATACACAAATAGTCTTTCATAAATTCCAACTCCTTCCATATTGGTTCCTCCTCTTATTCTAGTTCTCCAGTCAAATACATCCTCAAGAGAGACAAGCATATTTCTATCCTAAAGTAGCATATTTCAGGGCCAGCAGGTCAAGTGAGTTTTTAAGTACTTAAAAACAGAAGGTGCCATGTCAAGCGAGAGAATGAGGTCACAAATGAGAACAAGACGAGGTGAGATGGCGTGATGGTTAAGGCACTGGACTCCTACATGTCCAAGCGCAGTTCAAATCCTAGACCCGGTGATCTGAAAATCACACCAGGTGCATGTGCACGCATATCCAAATTCTTAGGAGGAGAATGGAAGAAAAGGGATTTCAGAACAGCCTTCCATCCCCACCCTCAGGGGTGATTTCCCACTTTCTCAATTTCCTTTTTACTATCTCTCTCTGTCCCTCTCTGGTAAGTACACACATTCTATGGCAAAAAAAAAACTTAAAAAAAAAAAAAAAGCATTTTTCTGTCACAATATACTGCTTAATTTCTTCATTGTATTTATCTGTCTATAAAAATAACTGTTTCTTTGTTTACTCATCTCTATTGTTTATCTTTCCAAACACAGCAGAATGAAGACAGAGATCGTGCCACTGTTTTTTCCATCGCTAGAGTCTAGTCCAATACCTTAAACTCTACAAATGCCCAGTATAATGAATGATTAGATGATGACTTTGATTTTATCTTCCATTAAAATTTCTCTCATTAGCATCATATTTAACTGTCCACTTTGCAACTTCATCTAGAAAGTATACAAGTATTTCAGTCTCAGTGGGTCATCAAATCTGCTTCTCCTCATGTTGCTTCCTAGTTAGGTAAATGATACCACCATCAACCAAACATCCCAACATATAAATGAGCTTTATCTGTATAGTTTCTAAATATCTTCATCCATCTATTTCATTCAGCCCATCTGTTTCTCTTTTTTTTTGGAGAGGTTTTTGCTATAGGGCGTGTGCACTCACAAAAAAGTCAGAGAGAGAGAGAAAGCAAGAAATCATCCTCCAGGGGGAATGGCCACACGGCAATCCCTTCTCCTCCATTCTCCTCTCGGGATCTTGGGCACGCACACACACGCGCCTGGCGTGAGTTTAAGCCACCAGGTATGGGACTCGAACTGCAGTCGACTACATGGGAGTCCAGCAACATAGCCATTACGCTAACTGCTGGTCCCCCCATCTGTTTCTCTTTAATCCCAACATTCAAGTGTCAATTACCATCCATCATTTCTCTCCTACACAGCAATAATAACCTTTTAACTTCCAGTTCCAGATCCATTCTTAAAAAAAAAAAAAATTCTGCTACAGAACACATATATGCTTGCCAGAGACAGAGAAAGTGAGAAAGCACCCCCCAGGGGGCCAACTATGCCATAACCCCTTCTCCTCTCAGGATTTTGGACATGCATACACACATGCCCATAGTACTTTTCAAGCCGCTGGATCCAGAGCTCGAACTGCACAATCTGCCATGTAGGATCCAGGAGCTTTAACCATCATGCTACCTGGCTAGTCCTCCAGATCCATTCTTATTCCTCTTTAATTTATTCCTCATACTGTAGTCTTGGTGGCTACAATGGCTTCTCATTATTCTTAGAATAAAGCCTTTATAAATTCCCTTCCATAGACTATCGGGTCACATGAAATACCCTGTCTTTTCTCTGTAATCTAATCATTAGTCTTCCTTAAATTCTTTAAGCCTACCATCCTCTAGCCTATATCAGGGCCTTCAAATGTGCCCACCACCTAAGATAAACTCACCCTTCAGGTCTCAAACTCAAACATCACTGAGAGTCTCTAGTATGCAAAATTCTAAAGACATACTTTCTGCCATCCCAAAGATTTCCATCCCTTGCTTATACAATCAAACAGTAATCTAGATACTGCAGTGAAGGGACTTTGCAGTTGTAATTAAGGTTATTATTCAGTTGATTTTAAAATAGAGAGATTATCCTGGACTATCGTGGTGAGTATCATGTAATCACTTAAACTCTTAAAAGCAAATCTTTCTTTCAGCTAAGAACAGAATAGGAAGTCAAAGAGACGCAGCCAAAGTAGGCCAACAATCTGACTGAGCCTGGAAGCAGAGTCTCCTCCCAGACACTCAGGCTAGTTGATATTCTTGACTAAGGCCTGTGAAACTCTAATTAGAAAATTCAGTCAAGCCCTTTGACTTTTGATTTACAGCACTCTGGTATAATAAATGGGTATATTTTAAGCGGCTAAAGATGTGGCAGCAATGAAAAACTAGGAGAGAGGCTCTTCCTTGACCCCCAACCATACCCAAGACTGGGTTAATTCCCATTAAATGCTCACATAGGATTTTGCACTTCTCTTTCCTAACACTCACCACTTAATGTATGTGGTCTAAAAACTCATAGTCAGAAATGTCCTGTTTTTGTGTACCATATATCATTACGACTCAGTGTCTACACAACCAATAATCGTAACATTTGCTAATTGAATGAACAACTTTTTGATTAATTGTCTCCCAAAATTCACAATCAAAATATTAATAAATCTCCTGTAAAGTGTTATATTATAAAATGTTTTTATAACAAGGATCAAGTGCCTTATAACAGGGATTAAAAACAGGAAGAAAGTTAGGATAAATGGGATATATTAAGAATCATTTGAGCAGCTGTTCTTTTGGTTTTTACAAATCCTCTCTTACCCACCATTAATCCCAAATCCTTGTCCACTGTCCCTAGGGGAGCATGACCATCTATTAGAGAATCACAAAGCATTGCCATATAGAGCCATTATTGCTAATATCAATAGGTAATAGCCTTCAAATATGTCATAAAGATTTAAAGCAATTCTTATAAATGTTTAAAGAAACTTTTTAAGCTGTAAAAATAAAAATCCAAATTTATTCAACCTGAGTCATTACTATTTCATAATAAAAAGAAATATGATACATTAAAACTGGTCAGAAAAGGAAAAGACCAATAAAAAAAATTTACTTACATCAATGGAAAAGCAAAAAATGGAAGTGTCATGGCAAGTCTTGCTGTAAATTCATCAGGAAGATACCATAAGTATACAATCAAGCATGTAAACAGATAGAGAACTGAGGAGTATAGAATTAATCTTCCAACCCATAATTTTTGTAATCTCTGATTTTTTTCCCTAAATTCTTCCAATGCTTGAATTTCCTGTTAAGAGAAAAGTATTCTGTGTTATTAAATCTCAAGCTTCATAAAGAAACCAAAATGTTAAAATTTTTTAACATGACAAAAAGATTATATAGAAACAATTCTAAAATCAATAAAATTGGAGTTGGCAGACAGTACAGTGGTTGGGGCACTTGGCTTCCCACATGGCCACCCACAGTTTGAGTCTCAGACCTGGCGGCTTGCTCTCTCACTTTCTCTCTCTCTCTCTCTGGTCAATTTAAAAATAAGCAAATAAAGTTAAACAGATAATAGAGGGTTTTTTTTTTTGTAAAATCAATGAAATTCAACATCCTTTTATTATAAACAGAACCTAATACTAAAAAGAACACTAAAAATGAAAAGAAATATTCTGACAAATCACTTTCTTTAAATTTTTTATTTATTATTTTTGTTTTTAATTTGCTATGGTACACATGTACTCATCCAGAGAGAGACAGAGAAGGAGAGAGAGAGAGAAAATGAGAGAGCATTCTCACTCCAGAGGGGATAACCATGCCTCAATCAGTTTTCCTCCACTCTCCTCACAGGATTTTGGGCATGCATGCACACACCACTGGCATGTATTTCAAGCCTCTGGATCTGGGACTCGAACCACACAATCAGCCATGTGGGATCCAGCTACCTCATCCACTACACCACCTGGCTGGTGCCTGACAAATCACTTTTTAAAATAGAAAATTAAATACTGGGCCAGCCGGTGGCATGGTGGTTAAGACAGCAGGAGCCACATGGCTGACTCCACAGTGCACGTTCTAGACCCAGTAACTTGAAAAACATTCCAGGAGCATATGTGTACATGTGCAAAATCCTGAAAGGAAAAATGGAGGAGAAGGGGCTGGGACATACATAGCCATCCCCCAAAGGATGTATATACATCATCTAGCAAATTAAAAAAATAATAATAATACTGTTTTTAACCTAACAAATTGGCAAAAATTAGAGAAATGAAATTGGCATCAGTAAATAATATTTGTTGAGTCAAACAACTAATAATTCTACTGTTCAAGGTCTAAAAGAAAAAACTCTGGCATTAAAAAAAGAACTAATAAAATGAAGGGCCAGCCACAGAGATCAGCACATAAAGGGAGCTGTTTTCCACATGGTAGAATATGGTTCAAATTACAGTCCTGGTGGCTTGGAAAACCCAGTAGGCACATGTTCTGTGTATACCCAAAATCCTGACAGGAAGAATGAAGGAAAGGAATTGTGGTGTGACCACCCAATTTTTTGTGGGTGCATGTTCTCTGTCTTTTTGGCAAGTGCATACACCCTCTGGCAATAATTAAACTTCTTTAAAAATTAAAACATTAACTCATACTAGATTCCTTTAATATATTCATCACTTCTCAATATTCCCAAGGATAATCATCTTTTATAGTGATAGAAAATATAAAAGGTGTGAAAATACTGTAGACTAATAAAAATTGTTACAGACTATCGTATAATCTATTTTATCCTATCTGTAATACTGATTTACACCATGCCATAGATCTAATCTCATTCTAAATGACTCTATTACTTGATATTGACTTTATAAGTCACTGATAGACTGGATTTTATTTTTTACTATCATATAACATTAAAGTTCTCTAAATTCCCATACTTAATTTTTTCCTTTTTTTAAAATTTCAATTTCTTTTATACATTCAATCACATGATCCTTAGCTTGCAAAATGAATATTCCAACATGTGTACATTTCTCACCAGTCCAGTTGACAATACTATAAAATTCAATAGATAAAAATCCATTTGTTTGTCCCATAAATGACTAGCCTATTTTTCTCCTTAATGTCTTTCCTCAGACTCTATTCCTTCACCCACCCTCTTCCCACACTGTATCTGGTATTCACAACCATTCACTATGTTTCTGTATCCTTTAGTCATTCAGTTTGGGCCACAGAGTGCAGGCACTAGGTATATGTTAAGTGGAGACATACAATGTCTCTCCTTCATAGCCTGGCTTTCTTCACTCAGCAGTAAATCTTTCATATTCATCCACTTTCTGTCAAAAGCCAGGGTCTTGTTTTTTATGGCTGAGAAGTATTCCATGGAGTATATGTGCCAAACATTTTCAATCCATTCATCTGTTTGGGGTTGGTTCCATGTCTTAGCAATTGTGAATAATGCCACAATAAACATTGATGTGCAAGCACTTTTCTGATTAAGAATTCTTCTGGGAACCAGCAGTTGGCGTAATGGCTATGTCGCTGGACTCCAATGTAGCTGACCATGGTCTGAGTCCTGGACCCGGTGGCTCAAACTCACGTTGGGTACGTGTGCATGCATGCCCAAGATCCCAAGGGAAGAATGGAGAAGGGATTTTGGTGTGGCCATCCCCGCTAGGGGGTGATTTCTCACTTTCTGTCTCTCTGTCTCTCTCTGTCTTCCTGGTGAGTGCACCCACCCTATAGCAAAAACATAAGAAAGAAAGAAAGAAAGAAAGAAAGAAAGAAAGAAAGAAAGAAAGAAAGAAAGAAAGAAAGAAAGGAAGGAAGGAAGGAAGGAAGGAAGGAAGGAAGGAAGGAAGGAAGGAAGGAAGGAAGGGAATTCTTCTGTCCTTTGGGCAGATACCAAGGAGTGGGATTGCTGGATCATATGGTAGTTCTATTTGTAGATCTTTGAGGAGTCTCCAAGTTGTTCTCCATAGTGGCTGGAGCAATTTACATTCCCACCAGCAGTGTAGGAAAGTTCCCCTTTCACCACATCCCTGCCAATACTTATCACTTTCTTTTTTTTTTTATCTTAGTCATTCTGACTGGGGTTAGGTGGTATAGAATTGTGGTTTTGATTTGGGTTTCCCTTACAATGAGGGATGTTGAGCATTTTTTTCATATGTCTTTTAGTGCCTTCTGGCTATTCATATGTCATCTTTAGTGAGTGTTCTTTTGAACTCCTTCTCCCATCTTTTAATAGGGTTCATCTTTTTTCCAAACAGCTTCTTTAGTTCCTTATGTATTCTGATTATCAATCCCTTATCTGATGCATAGTTTACAAAAATATTTTTCCATTCTGAGGGCTGTCGAGTCACACTAATTACTGTGTCTTTTGCCATGCAGAAACTTCTTAATCTGATATAATCCCACTTGTCTATATTTGGGATTATTGACTGTGCTTTGGGGATCTTATTTAAGAAGTCTTTGCCTACCCCAATGTCTCCCAGAGCTTCCCCAGTGTTTTCCAGCAACAGTTTTATATTTGAGGTCTTAGGTTTAGATCTTTGATCCACTTTGAGTTGATTTTTGTCAGTGGTGAGAAATAGGAGTTAAGATTCATCTTTCTGCAAGTGGAGATACAGTTTTTCCAGCACCATTTGCTAAAGAGGTTTTCCTTTTCCCAATGGATTGACAGGTATCCTTTGTCAAAAATCCGTTGGCTGTATGTTTGGGAATTTATTTCTGGGACTATATTCTGTTCCATTGGTCCACCTGTCTGTTTCTGTGCCAATATCATACTGTTTTGATTACCACAGATTTGTAGAATATTTTTGGGTTAGGGAATGAGATGCCACCCACTCCACTCTTCTTGTGCAAGATTGCTTTGGCAATACTAGGTCTTTTATGATTCCAGACAAATTATATGATTGTCTTTTCTAGATCTGTGAAGAATGTCTCTGGCACTTTGATTGGGATTGCATTAAATATGTAGATTAATTTGGGTAGAATTGTCATTTTGATTATATTAGTTTTTTATTCCAGGAACATGGGATGTCCTTTGACTTTTTTGTGTCATTCTCAATTTCTTTTTTTAGCTTCTCATAGTTTTCTTTGTGGAGATCTTTAACTTCTTTAGTTAGATTTAATCCTAAATAGCTTATACTTTTTGTGGTAATGGTAAATGGAATTACTTTTATCATACTTAATTTAATCTCCCAAATAATATATACTAAAATAATATTTAACACCTAAAATAAATTAAAATACTTCATAAAGAACATACCTTATCAATACTTTCTAGAACTTCAACAGTTGAAGGTTTCGTCTGTTAAAGAAGTAGAAATTAAGAGGCAACATCAAAATTTGTTTTACTGCAAACTTAGAAATATTTTTATTTATCTAATCATAAAAGAATATTTTAATCCAAAATCAAGTTTTTTCAAATGTTGTCAATCAATATGCTTTCTTATTGATTTCTAAGATTTATTTAAGTGAAAGTTATAAACAGAGCTATCCCCTATAAGATTAAAAATTAAGCATTTCCCTACTTAATGTCTTCTTAGTTCTATTAGGACTTTCAACTCTGATAGCTCAACTTCAATCATTCCTAACCTCACTATAGCATACTTCTATAAAGAAAAACAATTTTCCCCCAAGAAAAAGTTTCATAGATGTGATTATTTAAAAGAATTGATATTGTAAAGAATTCACATGGCCAAGCCAAGGTGATGCAAGCAGAATGGCACTGTCTTGTGATGGCTAGGGCCATGTGGAAAGCCAGAGTTTGATTCCTCACTCAACTTAGATAGTCCATACCCAGTGGCATGCACCGCCAGTCCCAGGTAATTAGGAGGCTGGAGCAGAAGGATAGTGATACAGGAAGATATTATCAGAAAACCTCTCTCTGTGTGTCTCCCACATGCTCTAATTAAAAAAAAAAAAATCAGACTAAAGATGGTTTGATTTGTTATTGCTGAAAGTTCACTTAGGATTCTGGAGGTCAAAATCAATAAGTTACCTTCATTCTTAATTTCCAAAGTACTTTTTTGAAGATCAAATTTTAAAGGGGCAACTAAGAAAAACACTTCATTACAGCAGAGCTTGTCTGCCAAAGATATTTTTTATACCATGTAAGGGGAGGGGAGAACACCCAAAATGGCTCATATAACACTTGAGAAAATATTTACCAATTACATACTCAACAATCCAAGAGAGTAATGAATATCAGTTCATTGTAGTTCCCCTAAGAGTTGTTAACATTAGGTTGAACCATATGAAATTGGCATTTTTGTGAAGCAAAGCAATTGAATATTGGCAATTTCATATGGCTCAATCTAATAAGACAAAAGAGGAATATAGATAAATTTGATACTCAAGCAGAACTGCCATAAGGTTTTAAAGAGAGAGGGGTCAATACAATGTCAATCTAAAACAAGTTGTTCTAGCAACAGTCCAAAAACTAAATTATGTGCCAAGTATTGCTATATTCCATGACTATGATCATAAGGTCATAAGGAGTCAAAAATTAAGCAGTTTGCCTTAAACTATATTATCTCCTCTTACAGTCAAGAGGTCATTTTTCAATATAATTCATATCTTCGACTTCTAAATTTGACCTTTTTCCTTTAAAGGCTTATCCAATCAATCTAGCTACACTTTTAACTATATTAAACTTATAATTCCTAAAAGCATATTTATTATGACTTCAATAAATACTTGTGACAAGTTTTAACTAAAAAGATAGAGTCTGTAAAAAGCATAAGTGTGGTATAGAATACTTAATTTCAACTATCTTTCAAATAAGTCTGAAATTTAAGCAGTATAAGAAGGAAACAACAAAAGATAAATATTTGTACATCAATACAGATATAAGAATAACTATTATGTTAAGGGGAAATAATTTGATTAAACAGCAACATTAGACACCCAGAGAACAAGTAGAATTATTAAAACCAAGTTCACATAAAACATTCCAAAGACGGGAACCAGCAGTTAGTGTAATGGCTATGTCGCTGGACTCCCACATAGCCGACCACGGTTCGCGTCCCGGACCCGGTGGCTTAAAACTCACACCGGGCGCGTGTGCGTGCATGCCCAAGATCCCGAGAGGAGAATGGAGGAAAAGGGATTGCGGCGTGATCATCCCCCCCTGGGGGATGATTTCTCGCTTTCTGTCTCTATGTCTCTCTCTCTCTGTCTGGCAAGCGCACGCACCCTGTAGTGAAAGCCTCTCAAAAAAAAAAAAAAAATTCCAAAGACAAGAAAAAAATTAAATAGAAGTAAAGATAAAATCAAACTACTACTCATGGCTATTCTACAAAGGAGATTTTTTTACAAACAGCTTTATGTGACACTTTTATGTTAGACTTAAGAACTAGCTATAAAGAAAAGTAACTTACCCTCCATCGAGAAAATAATCCACCCATCTTTTATTTGTAAAAGCCAGGTACAATGATAAATATCATCAATTATCCAAAGAAATTCACAGCTAGAAATAAAAGAAGCATTTTAAAATTTTAAGTTACAGCATACCCACTATAAAATTTAGATTGCAATACTGTCAAAAATACTATAAAATATTAATTTCTTTGTACCCCACCCATATGATTGAATTCAGTCACTGGAACAGAGTCCGCTTTTTAAAATTTTTTTCAAAATCAGGACATATTTAAAAGTAGATATAAACCAGAAAAGACTTTTTTTTAATGACAAAGTGTTTTAGAAGTATATATTCATACTACTTTGTGATTTTCTTTAAAGTAGATTCCCTATGCTGCTCTGGGAACAAAAGTTTTACTTTACCACTCTCATTCTACATAATTAAATGAAATCATTACTTTCACTGAACTGTCTCCCAACCAAGCTAGTTATATGGAATTAGGGATGTTTCATGTTGCTCAAAAGAATATTTCTTACAGGTAAAAGCAGAAAGTCACCTGCATTTTTTAAAAGAATTATTTCCAGCTTTCATTTATTTTCTGTGATTAGAGTTAATAATATCACCACTTTCTTATAGAATAGTACCAGATAAGAAAACTAAATGCAAAGTTTAGTTATTTGCCCAATAGCTGGGAAGAAATAGAGCCTAAAGCCCCTCTAACTTTAGACTTCTGGTCTCCATTACTAAACACTATCGTTCAACACCTAAATAAACATTTCTCTCTAAAATGTTATCTAAATCCTTCAAGCTGGCTGACTTTAATCCTAGCTAACTATATAGCCCCTTCTTTTAATAGTTTCTCTATGACTCAAATGTTTTATTTGTTTTTTGGGGTTTTGTCATGGGGTGTGAATACTCACCAAAGAGTCAAATGTTTTATAATAGACTCACTAATAATATGTTCTAAATCAGTTAATTGGTTAATAATAATTACATAAATTTGCATTCTTTCAGGTTGAAATGGTAAAAGTATACTTTCAAACTAACATATTTGACATATTTTCACCAAACATGATTATATACTTGTCAATGTATGAAACATTTTTACCAAAAAAAAAAAAGTTATCTAGGCCCTACTGCTCACACTTTTTTCATACATGTAATACCAAAATAATAGTATATATTGGAATTAGCATAAGGATTCCTACCGTGGAAGCAATTTGTTAGAAAAATCTAATTATATATTTTCACTTGAAGTTATTTTTTAAGGATAGGAACACCTATAATCTGTCTTGAAAAATTCTTAAGTTTATAAATATAATTAATGTCATAAGCAATGTTTAAGTCATGATCTAAATAGTGTTCATTATTCACTATTAGCTCAACACTCAAGTTCCTAAAATACAGTTGTAAGAAATGAATAAAAGTATAAATTTCTATCTGTGTTAAGACATTAAATAAATCTTAAAACTTTATGGTGCTAAAAATAATCACCAAGAAAGGTCAAGAGTGAGTAGGAGACTCAGATAAACCATTTAATTTGGTATTCTCAAAGCATACATCATTCCACTGTTTTTGAACTAAGGTATCTAAGCATGTTTTATACACAACTGACATATATTTGGGTTTATATCAAACCAAATATAAATCAAACAGTTTAGATGCCAAGTCAAGTTTGTAGGCATCACACCCTAAGACTGTGATCAGAATTTTTAATATGTGAAATTAATGACAACAATTATCAGCTAAATGCTTGATAAGCACTTGCTTTCTAGCAGGCTCTAAAACAAAATACATAAATTTTAGCATTTAGATACTACTATCCATTCATTTTACAAACACAGAACCTGAGGCTAAAAAAGTGATCTGCTAACATTCCTAACATGTAGCAGAGACAGACATAGTATTTTAGTTTTAATCTTTTTACAAAGTACCCGGTTGGGACTAGCGGGTGGTGTGGTGGTTAAGGCACTGGGCATTCCCACATGGCCAACCGGGGTTCGAGTCCTGGACCTGGTGGCTTGCTTTCTCACTTCCTCTCTCTCTCACTCTCACGCTCTGTCTCTCTCTGGTCAAATTAAAAATCAATAAATGAATAAATAAAAAATAAAATAAATAGCTATTTAATAAAAAAAGTATACTATATAATAAGAATCCTGGACTTTGCATTGGCAGTTATTTCACTGTGCACTGCCTTTGCTTAAGCACAAGAGAGGAAAAAGACTCAGTTTTGAGTACACTCTGAAAAACTATCATACCCTTATTTTTTAGAGTTGAAATTAAAGGAAGCCAAGAGCCCAACTTTTCCTGACCATTTTTCCTTCTCTATTGCATAGTATCAACTACTGGAAGAATAGTTCTACCAATCACAATCTGTCAAGGTTTAAACATAAGGTATCTCTAACTGGCCTAATAGTCTTTCCTGGGGTTTACAAGCTACTTTCTGAAAATATTCCTGATTTTACCATGTAGCAAATGTTTCTGCTTTTGTTGCTAACAGAAATTTAAACAACGTTAACTATAACTGATAAGATCAAACACTTTGTTAGTAATCTACTTTTATACATGTAACTGAGTGAGGTTTTGTTTCTGTGTTTTATTCCTCGGCTGAAGTGAGAAGTCTAAAACTTCTTACTTAAGAAGTCTAAGAGGGGCTGGCAGGTGGCATGGTAGTTAAGGGCACTGAATTCCCACATGACCAACTGTGGTTCGAGTACCAGACCTGGCAGTTTGCTTTCTGACACCCTCTCTCTGGTCAAAAGAAAAATAAAGTTAATTTTTTTTTTTTAAAGTTTAAGAATTGGTGCTGTAGACAGAAAAAATTATAGCTAAAGCTCCTTAGAACGTACTTCAAATAGAGAAGTGATAAATCATATTCAAAATCACTTTAAGGCCAGCCTGTGGTCTGGTGGTTAAGGCAGTTGGATCCCACATGGCTGACTGTGCAGTTTGAGTCCCACACCTGGAGGCTTGAAAAACACATTTAGCACATGTGCATACATGCCCAAAATCCTGAAAGTAGGGAAAAATGGAGAAGGGATCATGGCATGACCATGCCCCATGGGGAGCACTTTCTCATTTTCTCATTTTCCCTTTCTCTTCTCTCTTTTTATCAGTGTATGTACATTCCTAAGTTTATATTTAAAAAAAAAAAAACCCCACTTTGCATC